TAGATGGCGCCACAGAAGAACAAATGCAAGATTTCCTAGAGGAAATACAGCTCATGAAACAAATCGGGTACCACCTGAACATATTAAACTTATTGGCCTGCTGTACTATGACAAATCCCATGTTCCTTGTACTGGAGTTTGCAAAGAATGGGGATTTACTTCACTACCTCAGGAAAACAAGACAGCAGGTAAAGTGATATAATTGAAAATCTTACCTCACTTTTAATGTGGTCAGTGAGTTTTATAGAAAACTGGTCTACTTACCCAAACTGTACTTTTTATTGACTTAAGTCAATACAGTCCAACCTCAACTAACGGCCCTTTCTCTACAGCGTCCACTCTCCAAAGTGGTGTTGTGGAGAGGTTGGAAGCTTCTCCTGCTTCCCTGGTCTTCTACAGCGTTAAGCAAGTAGAAGTATTAGCACCACCCCCACCCCCCGCCCCCCGCCCCCAGATTGTCGCCCGCAGCAAGGTACCCCTACATCCCGGTCATAGATCTTTGTAAGGCTGCCCCGGCTTATATAATTTGTTAGTAGCCACAATACTTTTAAATGGAGAGAGGCATTGTGAGAGTAAAGACTCGTCCATAACAGGACGCCTCAAAAACCATAAAACTCTCTACTACTTTGTTTTACATTTTAGATCACACAAGCTTCTGAAGAGACGAGAAATGCAGCCCCTCATTATCAAAACGGAGTCATAGATAAAGGGAGCTTACATGAAGTAATTCAGATTCTCGTTTTATTCGCTTTGCACTCTTAATTTGTTCCTGAGGTAGCCAGTAGTGGTCTGAAGTGCAAATTCTCCAGTACTTTCCACTAGATGGATTTTTGTTCGGTAGTGCTGAATTTAACTTGTTCTCGCTTTGTAAACAGCACTGAATTCTTGGAACCTACTCTGAATTTAAACATTGCGAATATTAACATCAGCATTAATGCTTAATGACTGGTATTTTCTAAACGTCCCTTCTGCTGCAAAAGTTTTTTTATTTCCATGCATTTATTTAGAAGGTGTGGTTTGAAGCCTCGGAACGTTCAGGCTTCTGCTCAAAATTTGCGGGTAGGCTGCAGTTTAACTCTCGAACATATAAGCCCCTAAGATTTTTTCAGAACTAAGAGAAGAAGCTGTCTTTTCAACCCTCGCCGAGATTTTGACATGTCAACTGCCTCCATGTCATTTGATATTTCCATAGTAAGAAAGAAAACAAGAAACTTCGCCTTTTCGGACAGAATTCTTCGTTTTTACCAGCTCTTTCGGGCAACATTCACAAGACTAGTACAATTTTAGATTTTAGTGTCATTTTGGATGATTAATCCCAGAAAATAGTGAAATCCAAGATGGCGGTCTTAATGCCATCATATCAAAAATATGTCATTTTGCAGAGCAAGCTAAAAGCAAAATAATTAACATAATTGTATCTCATTACAACGAAACTCCAGGGGTAGGGTTCCATCCCTCCTCTTTTTTACCGCCTGTTTTACCACAGTGGTTGTCTGAGTTTGCTTGTACGTCCCAGAGTTGAGCTGTGGCAGCTAATTAATTATTCAAGTTTAAATGACAGATATTTCATTATATGCTTGATTGAATCTACTCGAAATCATGACATGGAACTCAACAAAAACTGGATATCGATTTTTCTTCACCGCGTTTAATTTAGCCATATGAAAGCGTAAAATGTCACTTCCTGTTAGGTCAGAAACCGCGTGTGTGTGAGACCTGGGACTAGTCAGGCTGTGACGTCAAAATAAGAACGTAGGTCTTCATATCTTTCGTGGATGTTTACCAACCAAAATTGGAGCAACGTTCGAGTGTCTAATTCATAGTATATTTCTCTTACTTATTTTCGCTTTTATTTGTTTGGTTTGAAAAAATATGTCAACTTTCGTTCTTGTTTTGACGTCATCATGGGCCTGACCATCTCCAGGCCTCCACCATACGCGGCTTTTAACCAACAGGAAGTGACATTTCCCGTTTTCAGCGGGCTAAAACGCGGGAAAAAAGCAACGATAACCAATTTTATTTTTCGATTTCTAAAAACAAAACTTTCTGTCATATACACTTCAACTAAGAGTTGTTCTCTTTTCAGTGCACCAGCGACAATAACAGATGTGCATTTTTTCGACTCAGTAACAACAATGATACTGACAACTTACATGACGATGATACCCTCACATCCGCTGACCTAATGACGTTCGCATGGCAGATAGCGAAGGGAATGGTACGAGCTGGATTACGTGCATAATACCAAGATTGGCCAATATGTTTGTAATTTGTAATATTAACATTAATGCTTTGAAAGCCTATTTAACAGATTGCTGTTTTCATTTTCATTAACAACTTCTGTCGCAGTGATCAAAATTTCCCTTTTATATTTTACGTAGGAGTTTTTGTCGCGTAAAGGATTCGTTCATCGTGACCTGGCGGCGAGGAATGTTCTCGTTTGTGAAGGCAAGCTGGTGAAGATAGCCGACTTTGGATTGTCGCGTAACGTGTACGCTGAGAAGGTGTACCATGCTACAAAGAACAGAAAACTGCCAGTCAAATGGATGTCACCGGAAGCCATTCATGATCAAATGTTCACGACAGAGAGTGACGTGTAAGTTTAAAATTATCCCGAGGGGGGAGTCGGCGAGGTTAAAAATCATCGGTTTTGATCGAATCCAAGTTAACCGCTACATACGGAGTTTGCCGATTTGAGTCTCTCAATTCAAATAGCTAAATAATATTCTAGCGTTTATAGGCTACAGTTACTGTTTTGAAATAATTTGGCGAGAAAAGTATTGAAAAAATAAATAAATGCACAGTGCTCACAGTTCAAAAGCGACGTTATGACGTGCTGACTAAGATGTCAATTAAATAATTAATTTGTTGTTGATCTATAAAGCGTTTGATAAAGTCTGAGTTTCCGATCAATTCTATTGTATCACGTGACAATAAATATTGCGGTTCAGGATGGAAAATTTCCTTCAGGGAATAACCAATAACTGGGAATCTGATAAAGTTTATAGCGGAGCTCTAAAGGCTCCCAGGGCCGTCCAGCGGAGCACCATGTATACTCATACAATTTAGAAACCCATGAATGACGTCGCGCAACATGGCAACTGTACTCCGGCTAATAGGTCGACCGAGGCGTGCAGCCTTGGTTTACAGCGTGTTTCAAATGTTTAGAGAAATAACAAAGCGGTAAGCACAGCGGAAAAGTGGTTGATTTGTTGACCTATCGAAACGATTGGTTCAATTCAGTCTTCACAACTATTACTTGAAATTTCTGGCTGGAAGATTTACACTGGAGTGAATAGGCCGCGTTCGATATATCAATATTCTAACATGGATCTGAGGCTTTCGGTTCAAAATGGTACATTTTTTTTTTAAGTTTCTTTTGTCTCTCAATTTCCAAAAGAGACTTGGATTCAAAGAAAACAACACCAACCATAGAAGTTTTTCCTGAAAGCCTCGGAGCCATGTTAGAATATTGATATATCGAACGTGGCCTATTACCAAATTGCAGTAAAACCAAGAAAGGATTTGCTTTTTGATTCTTGCACGTGGTGTTACAGCGTATGGAGATTTTCTGTTTTTATTTTGTTTGTTTTTTTGTTTGTTTTTTTATTTTTGTTTTTGTTTTTTTGTTTTTTTGCCAAATTTACTCGTTTGGTGAAATGCTTAACGGTGAATTTCTTTAACGGTTGTTAGAACAAGACTGGTAAGACCACGAGCGATAAAATGATTGCAAAGCCGTCAGCAAAAAATAATATTTAAATTACGTTTAGCGTGAATAGTTATTGAATTTAAACACCGCACGTCTTTGAGAATTTGGAATTCGAATTCTAAATGCATTTCTCGGATTTACCTTGAATGATAATCAATCTTTAACGAATTTTCTTAAACATTTCTTTCATTCGATCATCCTTCGTTAAGAAAGGATTTGCTACTTGATACCCGGATGTAAAGATATGCATATTGTGTTTATGTAGATTGACTCGTTTTGTTCAATATCATTCGGTTTGGTCAAATATACTTATTGATGACTTTCTTTCAAGATTATTGTGTGGAGTAAATTTTAAGTACTTTATGGGAGCTCCGCTTTTAAGCCTAGCTAAATCTATATATTATGTTATATCTTAACAGGTGGGCGTTTGGTATTCTACTTTGGGAGATTTTAACAATCGGTGAGATATTTTATTACTCTTTCTTTCCACTTGCCATTTTGGAATCTATTTACTTTTGGCTTTCTTGTTAAGTTGGTAACGTCGTGGGTTTCACATATTCAGTAATTTTTTAGGTTTCTTTGTAATTTCGCATGCCAAACACAACAGCTTGGATCAGTTCATCACTCCATGTTCTACGCACCTGGCTGTAGTTCAAAGTGGTTATAAATGATCTCACTTGTACATCACTTGTCAGGCCTATTACTAATTTCACCTGCAAGACCCGCTGTATCGCTATGGATGTACAACTTTAAAATAACATATTAGACATATTAATGTTGATCACAATGGTCAATGAACTTGCCTTTGATCTACAATGAGCAAGATAGTTTCCAGGACTGCCACTCACTACAAACTGATCTTTTTCTTTAATCTCCTTCTTTCTTTGTATCTAGGTGGGACACCATATCCTACCATAAGTAATCATGAACTTTTAGGGGCTCTTAAATCTGGATACAGAATGGAAAAACCACAGATGTGCTCGGATGAAATGTAAGTTTCCTTTCTATCTGATCTTACCCATTCTTTTCATCAATTGATGACTGACACCTGCCACTCTTTTTCTCAGGTATGAACTGATGCGACAGTGTTGGACGGAAAATCCCGCTGAAAGGCCTTCGTTCACTGTCATCCAGGAACAACTTGAACGGATGATGTTACTGCATTGTCCTTATTTGGATATGGCAGACGCAAAGTATAGTTACGCACCCCTTTATAACGTTGACAGTGACAAAGAAACGCAAATGGAAAGTACTACTTTGTAACTTACATGCTGATTTGCATGTACGATTTTTGGACATAATGACAAGTTGGCATTCTGTTCGTTTCTCAGCCGTTGTTATTTTCAAAGTAGGGCTTGCGGTATCTTTTCCAGACGAAACAAACCGTGTTTTTACGAAATATGCCCAACAAGGTCAGCAAGACAAATTAATAATAGCAAAAACAATGAACACCCTACAAAGTTTCCTGAAGTACCCACCACTTCATCAACAAATATTTCAGAGAGTATAAAGTGACATTTCGCAAAGTAACATGAAGTATCATTTCGCAAAGCACCTCAGAGTACCATTTGGCAAAGTACCAAGCTATATTCCTAAACGCGCGATTTAAAATTTCGCAGACTTTTTTTAGTACCATGCGTTAAAGTGACTAAATTTTGTAGCGTATGACTATCTTGTGGTAACGTTTCCTAAGTAGGGAACACTGAAACATAACCACTACACTGAGCAAATGTTAATAACCAAATGTAATAAATTATAACAAATAAATTATACAATAAATTCTACCAAGGTAGCATGGATGTTAGTGAAGATATATCACAGTAAAAACCCACATCAAACCAAAATTCAAAGAAAATAAGAATTATATATCTTCCGGCATAGTGAAAAAAACGTTCAATTTAAGAAAAGAGACATGATTAAGCTTAAGTTAAATTCAAAAAGAGAATGAAATAATTAAAGCTTAGGATGTTCAGGATTATTGCTGTCATGACGAAGGCAATCTTTTCCACCTGGTACTCCTGCTTCCAAACCATCTCGTTCATGGGACATATTACAACCAAGGATTCCGCATTAGATCCAATTACGTTCATGGCGATTTTTTTCAAATACGGCCTTCGCGGTACCTTTTCAATTTCAGACGTAAGACAACGTGCTTTAGGGAATATGTCTGAAAATGTCACAGCCTGAGAAACCAACAGGTGCAAAAACAATGAACACCTGAATGGTATGTCATTGAAGTTCCAGCTTCAGTAAGCAATATTTCACAGAGCATCAAGTGACATTTCGCCAAGTAACGTGAAATATACCATTTCGCAAGCTTCGCAAAGTATCTTGAAGTAATATTTCCCAGTGCCAGCATACAAGGTAAGATTTCGCAAAGTATACTGAGTTGCTATCTTTTGAAACTCGATTTGGCAAGTTGCCATACAATTTTAAGGTAACTTTAAGTACCATTTCTAAAGTGGCAAATAATTTCGCAGATTCAATTGAAATAGGATTTCCCAAATTACAAAGACCCATTTCGCAAAGTATGTATCAACCATTTTCAAAACGTTTTGGCAAAGTTATTCCTCGAATTGTAGAGCAAAATTTCACAAAATAAAAGTATAGTATAGATGAATCATTTTTTTGTAAAGTAGGGCGTTTCATATGGGCGACGGAAAATATTAAAAACCACCTCGATAAGATGAGTACCCCATTGAAAATATTTCACTTTATCTTTATTCATCAGCACTTCGATATTATGTTTTTTGATATTCTTCTCTTCTTGAATCTCATCTTGATTCTCTCTTTGAATCTGATTCGCCGGATTGCTCCTAAATTTCCAACTTTGGCAGCTTTTCAAGCTTTTTGTTACACCGTAAAACAATATAAAATGTAAACGTTCAACACAGAGTCATATATTTTGCAAACACTAGCGCTTTTTGGGCCCGAAATCTCAAACTCATGCGTATGCCAGATTTGAAGTCAACGGCTTTAATCAAAATTCTTCACAAAAGTTGCTTTTAAAGCAATACCGTACAGAAAAATTGGCGGCCTTGGTCGGTTCGTGTTGGGAATAACCATGTGCCCTCGGTCTTACTGTGTAAGAAGTCTTGGATAGGGCCCTCAACCAGCGGCCTCGGGCCATGTAGTGGGATTCATGCTGACGTCATTGTTTACATTTTTGGTCATTTGCATACAGCTTTGCGTACAGAAGGAAACATGTTAGATATGAATTGACTCCAGGCAGCTAAAGAGCTAGTGAAACTTAAAACATGGTGAAATTTTTAGCTCTTTGGGTGGAATATTCAAGGGGAAATTGTCTTTCAAAAACTGCAAAATTTCTGGGTGGCAAAAGCGTTAATGAGCTCAAACATTCTTTGTAACATTTTGAGTTTTTAAACCCGTATGCACAAAAAGTACTCAATACATCAGGCTCATATTCATTGGCAGAGCTAATCGTATTATGACCTTTCAATATGCAGAACTAATTTATTGGTAGCTCCCTCTGACACTGAATTGCTTATGCTAATGAGGCAAATATTGTAAACAATAATTACCCTATTCAAGACCGAGGGAACAGTGTTTCCCAATACGGACCGACCAAGACCGGTAAATAACATATATTTATCATTCGATGTTTTTTTCTTTCTTCCTTTTCATTGGTCGAAAACCCACAACGAAAACTACCTACAAATAATGGTCTACTCATGCGTAGTACCGTCTAAACGCGCTTAGCTGCAAATAATATTCTGCTCATGCGTAATTTAAAAAAGCGCGCTCTCTGGTGAAAAATGGCAGATTGCTTTCCTGAGCTGTCAGGGAGTGATTTAAATATGAAAACTAACATGGCGATCGGATGATAAAAGAGTTACTGAACTCGGTTACCGCAAGGTATCGTAAGTTGTCGGTGGCAAGTAGATCAATTAATTGATCTACGAGACAATAACGAACTGACGTCCAATAATTGTTAAATACTATGGTTCAATACGGATAAAATAAAGGGTTTAACATTTGTGTTGTGAAATCCTCTGCTTAAGGTCTGTGTTAAATCAAACTTACTCTGCAAAACAAAGATGGCGTCTAGTTCCCAGTGCTCCTCGGTTTGAAGGAATGAATAGGCCTTGCTTTCGTGCGATCTTAGCATCTTCAGTCAAGTAAGATGGCTGTGAAGTGATACCAATGATATCATAGGTGATATCAATGATATCACAAATGATATCATTTCGCTGCATTGAACTTCACAGTTTGAATGGTCCAATCAAATGTCTCTTTATAAATGGCTTAAACCAATCGTGTTGCACATTATATTTCAGCTGACGTCAACTTCAACAATGAGCACTTGCTTTCCAGTTTTCTGAATGAAATGGTGGCTTCGGCGAGATTTTATACTAGCTTCTGAACACAACATTGCTCGTTTTACTAAAGAAAATAGGAGGCGCAAGAACTTAATGGGTGTTTACAGAATTTTTTTCTGTCTGTGAGAAATAAGGTTGGCTGACTTGTTGTGATCGATCATCTCCACCTGTCGCAACCATCGAAAAAAAAATCTGGAGAAAAAACAGCAAATATTCTACTACCAGGTCAGCCGGTAATATTTTGCTTGCAGTTTTGCCTTTTTATTTTTTGGTTACTTATTCTG